GACGTTCATTGACACAAATATATGGGTTGCTGCTGGCGATGGAGACCTTGGTAGAGTGAGGGTCAGTCGTATGCCTATCTCTCATTTCCATATCCGATCATCCCGAGGGGTTGTCAGGAGCTGATTGAGCATCAATGCAAGTTGTGTTGTCCGGTGCCAATGCTCCACTCAGCTAATATTCCTCACACGTAGCAACATCCCCTAATGTACCAGATTCATTCACATATACTCCCATGTGCGCTCCAATGCGGCCGTACTCTTTGAATTCTTCATACTCATATCATTCCGAAGGCATGCCGCCGCATCTTATGGTCACCTGGACGTTTTGACGTATCTCATCTCTAAGGGTAGGCTAGGCTAGTGGTTGGTGCATCGTTTGGCTGATCAGTGCGATACAGGGGGAGATGTAAATGTAACAGATGTGGACGGCGAGACCCCTCTCTACACGGTGGAGAACATCGAAACTGCACAATATCTTGTGGACCATGGGGCAGATCCCGCCTTGCGAAATAACGAGGGTTTGACGGTCTGTGAAGCCTTAGTCATTTGCATTCACTTCTGAGTCTGTCCTTAGCCAGCAGATTTTCTTAGGGAAGATTTTCCACGTGTGGCTGCTTATCTCGATTCTCTCACCACTTCTCTTGCCACGGATACTCCGGACGAGAAATGTCTGATGGTGCAACCGTCGCAGCATTCGCAGGAAACTGCGTCGGAACGTCTCACGACTTCGCTTATGAATCAATTAAGGGACATCGCACAAAAGGGAGAAGAGGTAGGGGAAGGAAGTCACGGAGAGGAGGAACTTAGGCGAGTTGTCCGTGATGCAGTATTGGAAGGCATGGTCACTGGGTACTCCATGGTCAATGGAGATGACGACACTGAGATGCGCGGTGAGACTTTACGGAACGGAGATGCGGATTCTGCGAAACGCAGGCGATTAGACAAGCCTGACGGGCAGTTGTAGGATCCCACTGATCGTATTGTAGATGTAGATCGTCGCAGACTTGTCTGAAATGAAGAAAGATACACATGGGCGCGTAAATGCCACTAAGGGAAACACAGGATGGGCTTACAAATTGCGGGGTAAGAGTGGGACCGTGCAGTAGCTATACCATTAAGGCACAGGAAGACGTTCGTTTGATTACCGTAAAGTGTGATGTCCGCGGTATCTTCGGTTCGGACAGCGAACTCCGTAATGGATTCTAGATCTCCCAGAAGATGAACGGGCAATGTCCTTCCCCAATTGCGTACGTAACACTTCCAGAGGATGCCGCGTCCGCCAGGGAGCTATGGGTGAATGATTAGAAGCCTTGAGTTAGAGCTTTGAGTAAAAAATATTTGTCTTTCCGAAACTAGACGAGAGCTCGGCCAATCGGAGATAAGTTGACCGAGGGAAAAAACACTGTCACGGTATAGGCCCTAGACAAAATCAGCCAGTACCCATATCAAATCAAGGGTGGCACTCCACATCATTCGAAATCAAGCACGGATCAGTCCCAAATTCTCGGGGGTCCATCAAAGGGCAATCTGTTAAGCAACGACTCACCAGCTGTCGACTTCCTGAATCCCATGGACAGTGCCGAGTTCCAGTCTGTCATCAACCAGATCTGAAAGGAGGGCCTCATTTGACCATCGGGAGTTGACAACAGAGGTAAAATTAAACAGACAGACCGCGGAGCTACTTTTAGTCGTGCTCCATCATCTCGATTCTAGGCGATCGTGGCAATTCATCCCCTTTCCCTGAACCTGAACGACCATTGTGCTGATCTATCAGCGCGCCATACCCGGAACTGAGGACACTTGATACATTTCGGGCGGCCATGGCATCTTGGGAGAATCCGGTATCCGTTGCGACATTCTTGTCATCAAACGATTTTGAAAAGCGCTCAAAAGCGGACTCTCAAGACACGTCACTCATTGATGACGCGCGATCTAGGACATACGATGCGGTCTGCATTCCTCTCACCACCTCAAGATGGAGAGATAGATGGAGAGAGATGTGCGTCATGTCCTCAGAACCTGACGGGGAGAGGAACGAAAGCGTCGAGTTACGCGCAGAGGCTTGGAGGGCAAATCCAGTATTCGAAATGGGCGAAGTGACCATCACAAGCCTCGGTATGTCGTTCGACGAATGACGGCACGTGTGCTAACCCAGCATGTTGGTCAGAGGAGGCCGAGGGCGTTATTGGAATGATATCCGACTGGTTAGAGTTGGATGCGTTCGACAACTGGGTCGGACACGACTCCGAGATTGTAAGTGTCCCATTTCTGTGCCTCGACGTCGGATCATCTACTAAGCCAAAAGCTCACCACGAACCCCTACAACTTTTCTAGGCTTTGCAGCAGGAGCTATCTTACGCCTCATACCTAGACATACAGACAGTAATTCTTCCACCTCCCAGCAATCGCAGTCAGATCGCGGCCTATGGGCGTGTTGTCAACGCATGTCTCGCGCGCACGCCATACATGCAGTTTTCTATCAGACTTCCTATATACAATCCATCCATCTTCCAAGCTAACTCTTGCCGAACCCCTACCCAGCATGAGAGCACATCCCTCCATCCATCGATTTCATCAGCGCCAACAACTCCTATTCGTTCGCTTGAACCTAGGATAGTCCCATCAACGAGGGCATCAGAGGCTGAACTGAATGCCACATGGGAGATGTGGGATGCCATACGGTCCATCTGTGCTTACAACCCACGACTAACCTTAAGTGCTTACTTTGGCGTAGTGGTGGCGTCCATAACTGTGCCTAATTAGTTTTTCCGCTGTAGCGCTGGACCTCATGCCACCACTTCCTTCCGTCTCGGGGGTGTTGAACCGTTGGGCCGCGGAACCCATCAGACACTTATTCGTACCAGCATCCACGTTCATTGCAAATGCGAAGGGATACCCTGTACTCCCGAAGGGGTCGCAATCTTTTATTCGTGATGTGATGAAGGTTTGATCATATCGAGCACTCTTGGTCTCTCAGCGCTTACTCCCAAGGTCAGCACCGGCCTGTAGTCATTCTGTCGGGTACTACTACTGGATTGCACATGAAGGGGGGCGAGGCCGCCTATCTGCAATACGTGCGCCACTTGGATAAAACCAGCCCTGCAAGTGATCCAGGCCAAGACAGCAGGCACAGTGGAGAATTTCGCAGCGGGGTTATCAAGACTATCTGCAAGCGCCTCTGCAGGTCGGGTGCACCATGCCAGCGCTGTCACATGAACGATGCGCTGACTCCACCATAGCCTCTTATGGATAATTTGCAGGGCATTACTTATCAGACATTCGAACAGGATCCCGTGAAATACCAGAAGTATGAAGAGGTACGCGATGATTTGATATCACAAATAGTTCGATTGTCCAAATCTGCTCAAGGCAATATACGCGGCTCTGTCTGAACCCCCTCGGTCGGATAAGATGTAAGAACACCCTTGTGCAGACCTAAGGTAGCGTTGACATCCCTCCAGAATCATCTGCGTGGCGGGGGCTGGGCGGGGCCCTCTCGTCGCACGATGTTTGAGCGCAATTGCGCGCGTCAAGTGTAACGCGTTCGTCTACGCTATCGAGAAGAACCCCAGCGCTTTTATAACGTGAGTTGCCATGGACGTTATCAATGTGTCCGAGTGATGAGCACTGGTGACACTGCCCCGTAGTCTGCAGCGACGGAAAGCTTCTGAGTGGAAGGAAAATGTCCACCTGCTGTTCGGTGACATGCGGTCCCTCTCAATTCCGGAACCAGCGGACATCGTTGTCAGCGAATTATTGGGCTCTTTTGGTGACAACGAGCTCAGTCCGGAATGTTTGGACGGCGCAATGCGTTTCTTGAAACGTAGGTCCCTGAGTCTCTCCTTGTTGCCATAGCCCAGTTTCATGGCCTTCCTATTAGCAAATGGGATCTCAATCCCCTCATCATACTCTGCGCATATGGCTCCGCTGTCCTCTTCAAAACTTTATAATGAGGTTCGCGCCGGGAAAGACGAAAAGGCGTCAGAGACGCCGTATGTTGTGATGTTCCAGGCAGTGAATATTCTCAGCGGTCAAGGGGATGATGACGGCGGTCGTTGCGGGCCACAAATACAGGAGTGCTGGGAGTTCGAACACCCGAGACGCGACTATCGTGCTAGATGACCGAGGCACGTCTGCCAGATTTTGCAACTGGTCGATGGTTACCCGTCCGCGTGTTGACAGTTTTTACGTGTCTTTTCTTTTCAGGGTTACCAGTGACCAACAGCCACAATGTTCGTTCAGCCAAGTTATCCTTTCATATCCCCCACGCCGGGGTGTTACACGGGCTTGCTGGTTACTTTGAGGCTGTATTGTATGGAGACATCGGGCTCAGCATTCACCCCCACCGGAAGGATCACATTTCTAAGGATATGTTAAGCTGGTTCCCGCTATTTTTCCCCCTCAAAGTAAGTTCCTGTGACATTCTTGCCGTATAGTTTTTCCTAGACGCTTCTTCAAGGAACCTTTATACCTACCGAGCAACTCTGAACTTCAAGTTTTCGTGTGGCGCCTGACTAACCAACGCCAAGTCTGGTACGAATGGTATGCCGAATCCTTTCTCCCGGTTCTGCGTCCGCTCGCAGAAACGCCGAAAGTGGGCTCCTTGCCCATGGTCGACGGCCGTGGTTCCTTTGCAACTGCGACGTCGACGCCCTTTGCTCCACCAAGTCCATTGGTTGACGCGATCGACAATCCCTTCCTTGTTCCCGGCGATCAGTTATTCAAAGAGGTGACGAAACGAGAGGAGGAGGATTCCAAAATAGAGGCCGGTGTCGTCAAGATTGGACAGACCTCGCTGCATAATCCCGGCGGCAGGAGCAGCTGGATAGGACTTTGAGAACTCTGTCTTCGATGTTCTTACGTCTAGTGAATGTCAAAGTCCTTGTCACTCAACTCGATGTGTTGTTGCGGGTTCCTCGTTGTGCTGCCTGCTCGGTCAGTGACTGCAATCACAATCACACAACCAAAATCGAGCCTGACCGTAGCAGGCAAAAAAAGAATCCTTCGAGCCGGGCTCGAACCAGCGACCTCGGGATGGCATGTATCCTTTACAGTCCCACGCTCTTCCAGCTGAGCTATCGAAGGCTTGGAGAATGAAGTTTTTTGATCCACTATATGCTCGAATCAGTCTTCAACCTTGATCATCAAAGGCAGAAGATGGGGATTAAAATTAGCTAGTGGACGGCTCGCTTTCCCTGGGTGATAGTGACGTTCTCTAATTTAATCCTCCCCTACTTTTTACCGTGACTCCACTCCGATCTGCCCTGTTGGATTCCTTTGTCCAAAGCAGACATGAGAAACACCCAAATGAACAAAGGTTCTCAGAGCCAATGATGTAATATTCCCACGCTTTCATAAACGTGGCCGCCTAAGCGGCCGCAGCTGTGACATAGTGAGCGCTTGCAATCCCCACGTAGCCGAGTTCTTCAATGAAGTCGTACGCCCCGACTTCGGTCGTGTTCGTTGTGCTTCTCGTCTTCAACGCCGTCTTGTGGTCGCAGAGCTCATACAGCCAAAGACACGGCGACCATGCACTCTTATCCTCCGACTCCCATGTTTCTAAGCGGAGCCTATTTGGGTTACTGGCGAGCGGGCAATACGGTAGCCTTGACGAAGACAAGGGCGAGGACGAGGTACGTGATCCAACAGACTAATGGTACACCCTCGATATGTTTTGTTTCAGTGCCAGCCCATTGCCGTCCCTATCGAAGACCAATGCAAAGTTGTGCACGACTTTTGTCCCACATCTGACACATTCCTCTCCATTCCATACCTGCAGACCTATTTTTGCGCCAGTCCGACCTCTCGGCCGTTTGTGTTCATTGGCCTACTCTTCTGGCTAGTTTTCCTGTTCTCGACCCTCGGGATTAGCGCTTCAGATTTCTTCTGCCCAAATTTGGCGACCATAGCGCAACTGCTGAATTTAGACGAGAATGTCGCAGGTGTCACCTTTCTTGCGTTTGGCAACGGCAGCCCGGACGTCTTCGCAACATTTTCTGCCCTGCGCACCAACTCGGGAAGTTTGGCTATAGGGGAACTCCTTGGCGCGGCATCCTTCATCGTTTCCTGCGTCGTGGGTTCCATGTGCATCATCAAGCCTTTTCGGGTCAATCGCGGCCCTTTCTTGCGTGACTCTGCCTTCTTCGCTGTTGCCGTTGCCATGCTACTGGTCATTCTTCTCGACGGGTGGATATATGCGTGGGAAGCGGCCGTCCTTGTCCTGCTTGTACTTTGTGTACGTCCTCACCGTGGTCGTAGGTAGCTGGTGGGAACACAAGCGTGAGACCAAACGCTTGCTGGAAGCACAAATACGTGACGAATTCGATGACGGTGTACCGCCGTATCGCGACCACGAGCCCTATCATGATGACCGTGAGTGTCTATCTGTATCCGTGACTTAGGCTTACGTGGTGAAAAGCTCCACCCTCCTCAAGCGTCCCATTTTTGGTTCCTCCGGACGTCGGCCATCGACGACCACCATTGTCGCGCCTTGAATTTCGACGTACAGCCCTCGCATCGACACTCTATGAGCTCGCAATCCAGTTCGCGGTCTCCGTCACCATCCATACATCCGTCCACCATGCCATCCTTCTCTCTAGTCGGGGCTCTCGAATTTCGAAGCGTGATTTCGTCATTGCACCAAGATGCTGCTGGGTCTTCTTTGAACGCCTTCGAGCCCCCACTAACACCGTACCCCTGGTGGACACTACCACGGATATTCACACTCTCGATCGATCTCCCGAGGTTCCGCTTACAGAGAAGGCGCAAATTATGGGAGGCTTCGTCAGGACGTTCCGTTGAATGACCGTTCTCCACTGCCCCCCTGCACCTTCCCTTCCTATCGATGATTCCGACCAGTCTTCCGACCGAAACTCCATCTCATTCTCATCGACGGTGATACTGAACCACTCATTCCCGAGATCCACCCCCTGCCTGAATCTTCACGTTCTGACTGCGACCAGTGACGTTACACTTCCCTTGGCGCCAACACGCCGTCAAAGCGTCGCCCTTGCTTTTTCCCGCGCCTTCCATATCCTCTTTCCCTACGTTGCATGGCTTCCGCGCCAAGACTTTACTCGGAAAGGCTGCGGCCGTCCTCGCTGCCCCGGCGGTGTTCGTGTTGACTATCACTCTCCCCGTTGTTGTGAGACCATATGTCAGCGCACACCACAGACACGAAAAGGCTAAGAGCGCGAACAATACGCTTATCTCCTTTGAGGAGGACGGAATCGAGCGCGCTCTCACCGCGGACGAGGTGGAGCAGGAGGACGAGTTGCACTTCAATAAATGGCTCATGGGGGTTCAATGCGTCTTGGGCCCGTTGTTTTGCGTTGGCGTGCTCTTTAGTGCGTACATCCTGTTCCGATCTCAACGGGGTGGGTAGGTCTGACGTCTTACGCTACGTTCTAAACAGAGGGTACCGTGAACGAACAGTGGTTCCTCCTCGGGACAGGGTTAGCGGGCCTCTCTGCAGGGATACCGGTGTTCTTATTCGCGAACAAAGGAGATAACCAGGTTTGGCTGCTAGCTCGCTGCTCGATGGGCTTTCTCGTTGCTATGGTTTGGATCATGGCTATTGCAGATGAGGTCGTTAATGTTCTGCAGGTCAGTGAACTGAGCACGTGATGGGATTTCAGCTGATGTATTTGTAGACCTTTGGATTTATCTTTGGGTTATCGGATGCAATTATTGGTTTGACAATATTTGCCGCTGGAAACTCCCTCGCTGATTTGGTCGCCAACATGAGCGTGGCTGTACGTGTTCACTCCAATTACATCATGTCCCGTCCTCATGTTTGCTTAGGTGTTTGCCCCCATTATGGGTTTCTCGGCTTGCTTCGGTGGACCCATGCTGAACATATTGTTCGGTGTCGGCATTTCCGGCTCGTATATCATCCACCAGACCGGCGAACCCTACGAGCTCCATTTCTCCAATACCCTATTCGTGAGCGCAGTTGGGCTACTCGCACTCCTCGCCACGACTATGATATTCGTCCCTATGAACGACTATTTCCTCCCACGCAAGTGGGGCGTATTCCTCATCTGCTTCTATGTAGTGATTATGACAGTCAACGTCACCGTGGAGGTGCTCGGACTCGACTAGCGGACGGTGTGTTCGTCATTCGTGATCACGTTCTATCGAGGCATAGATCGAGTGCTGATTTTTATCCACGGAGAACTATTTATTTCATTGTATTACCTTGTAGCCGGACATTTATGCACTGGAATTACTCTATGTTCATTCCCCTCTTGTGCTCGGCCCTTACAACCCACGGTCTTTGACTTGGATTCCAACATGCCAAACCCAAACTCCGCTTCACTAGCCGCAGTTTAAGTCGGGGAGAAAGGCATCCATTCCCCTTCAACCAGCTTATTCCTCTTCGTCCACACCTACACTTAGTTTATACTCCTTTAACGAACTTTTCCCGTGACATTTTTAGCCCGCCATGAACCCCTTTGTCCTCCTCACTGCGTTTATTGCCAGTGGCATCCGCACTTACTGTCAATACGCCGTGAGTACTATGGATCTCATCACCCGGCGTGTCGAACTGACTGGAAATTATTATTTTTAATCCAGGGCATCCGTGGTTACTTGCGGTGAGCAATTGTCCTGACTGTCCAGTTTTCTTCCGCGTATTGATAACGTGTCCAGAGCCTTTGAAACTCACCTGGGACGCAGCGGGTAGCAAGTCTCCATTCTTTCTTTCTATCTTTCCTGGTTAGATTTTTTTAGTGACCGCCTTCCGACATCATCTAACTTACCTCCATTGCTTTTCATCCAGCGGGCCAACCTGGGGTAGATGCTGTAAGTAATTCTTTTTGATCACCCGCTCTGGATTTAATGTACACCTTTACCGCAGCTCAAGCAGTTCCCACCCCAAGACGGGGATAACTACACGTGGGGCAAGGTTGATCTTCCTCCTAATACCAGTTTGTATGTCTTAACGTCACAAAACCTCGCTTCGCGGCCATTTACTGATATCTGCGACGAAGCACCGTCGGCTTGAAAGATGGCGATGGCAATCAAGCGTTCTCTGCACCCGCAACCATCCGAGCGGGCAGTAACACAAAGTATGTTGGTGGCATATATGCCCGAGTTTCATTTTACGGACCTTTCCTAATTCTAGCTGCGCCGGCACCGAAGTCGCTGAGGACAAGGGGGTCAGCTCTCCCAGTTCGTCAATGTAGGCGGCGATTGTTCTATACACCCCTGCATCATCCTGACGCGTTCGGCAGCTCTACGACGGTTGAGCCTGCAGTCGCTGCTGCTACCACGAGCGGGGGCCCTACATCATCACGCGCGCCGGTAGCAGCTGCGGGCCCATATTCCTCGACTGCGCCTTCCGTGAGCAATGCGCCAAAGACGGCAGCGGCGAGCCCATCCGGCAGCAATGTGTCACCGAGTCAGTCACCTGGTGTAAAGGCCAACTCGGCTGCACGGGACACATCTAGCGCAGTGGTCGGCATAATGACCGTAGTGGGTGTAATGAGCGTTGCTGTTTTCTTGGCTTGAGGGTGTAGATTATTCAATAATTGCAAAGGGGACAAACTATCAGATATAACCGGTTGTAGTAGCCCTAGCGCTAGTGTGATATAAAGCGCAAGGTGTGGCCATGTGATTATAGCCGTGCTAGGAACCCACGGTCAACTAGTTGCCATCTCATCTCACCCTTACTTTCTATGCTTTTCGATCACGTTGCCCGTCAGCTTCCGCTTCGTTGTCCCAGGAGCCTGCATCACTCTCTGGTTGCGTACCCCTTCGTTAATCGGTCGTATCTGGACGGAGGCCGCACCTTTCGCGCGGTTTGTCTCCGCCATTGTTCGCCCGTCCGTTTACGTGACGTGGATCATTTCCCCGCTACGGTTTACAGATTGCTGGTGGGCGTGTCAGCGCTGTCGGGCTCGATAACGATCGCGCTGTTTTTATACATCCTTTTGATTCCTGTGATCAAGGGCATCCCACCAGACGTGCGTCCCTGATCAACACTCCCCAATCGTGTTACATGTGTGCTGAATCTCCCGCTGCCTTGCCCTTTTTTTTTTTTTTTTATGGGTTAGTATCGATCGTGGAGAAAGTCAGGAGAA